GGAAGTGGTGGGTGCTACAAGCATGGACGGCTTCAAAAGGGAATTAGATAAGCATATGGAGCAGAGGTCCATCAGTGGCTATTAGCCACAAGGTATAGCTAGGGGCTCTGGGGCAAGTGATGCTCTGTCTTCTTGGTGCTTGGGGGGGGTCAACAGTGGGAGGGCTTCTAATGTCCTGGCCCCACTGCTGGACCTCCTGATGGCACTGGTATTTCTGGCCACTGTGTGACACAGAGTGTTGGACTGGATGGGCCTTTGGCCTGATCCAACATTGGCGTCTCTTATGTTCTTATGTTCTTATGTCACACAGCCACAAAGACCTGCAATAGAATCAGCTTCAACATCAGAGCTTTCCCTCTTTTCCTAGGCTCACAGGAATAGAAGGTTAAGTACAGCTAATTGGCTTAAGAGACACCTAATTTGTATATTTTAAGAAACTGTTTCTAGCATGCAAATCTGGGCTTGCCTGAGAATGTTGGGGTTCTTCAAAGGCTGCATTCATAATAATCTCATTGGAGTTAGTAATGAGAACAAAAATTGCAGCAACAGTCTTTCTGTACTGTAAGCCATTTCACACTCATATTTTAATAAACATGCTTTCAGGTACATCTGTTGGAATCCTAATGAAATTCAAATTATCTTATAATTAATATCTTTTGACATGAGGAAACATTGGTTGATTATTTGAAACCTAAGGCTCAGAACCTGTGACTGCTGTGTCTACATGCACCAGACGGCGTCTGCTGCGGTGCATGCTTCCTCTGTCTCTAGCACTTCTAGTCACGCACAGGCTGACAGAAAAGCATTGATCTTGCACAAATAGACATCCCGGAAGCAGAGGAAGCACACTCCCCAGTGCACACGGGATGCAGTCACAGGATCCAAGCCTAAGTCTCTGTCCTTCACTGTACTGGCCATAAGCAGCTAAACTGTAGAACCCCTGTATGTAAACAGTAGGTACACATCTGATTTCCCCAAATATACTTTGCTGATCTCTAGAGTAAAAAAAAAAATCAACCAACCTAATTCACTCCCCAATCCACCTCTTTTTATGCCTACATTTTAAGTGTTCAAATTTTATATCTATATTTGTGGGACATAACAGACAAGAATTTATTTATTTAAAACATCTTTATGCCTCCTTTTGATCCAGGCATGGTCCCCAAGGTGGCAAACATGAAAACATTAAGACACCAGAACAATTAAAAACAACGTTTAAAATTATAAAATAATTAAATACTAGCCTGAGACCCATGCTTCACCACGATGTTTTTAAGTTCTGTAAATCCAGTTATACTAATGATGTGAAGTTTGAAATGTAACATTTGTTGTAGGAATTCTAATGGAGAAGATTGTAGTGTAAAAAATGAAGTGAGACATACCTACTGGTTTTTTCCTCTACTGAAAGACCTCTCTGTAGACCACATTGGTGGTTGTGCCCTCAGGTGCTAGGATCACCACCAGGCTGCTTGATGAGTTCACTCTGGAGCAGGTCACATAGAACTATCCATGTGAGAAGGAGTCATCCTGCCAACTTCAGTGTCTGGCCTTGGGATTTGTTGATGGTCATAGAAAAGCAGACCTTGAGGAGGAACTGTAGCCTCTAGAACTCGAAGTGGTTTTCTGATGGTATGAGTGGTATGCATGGTATGAACACCGACTCTCCCCAAGCACTGCTGCTGAGCAGTGTGGCCTCGATGATGTTCCTGTGCAGGGCCTTCACTTGCAGACTGGTGCCACTGCAGAGTTTGGGTGGGTTGAGGTTCTGCAGCAGCATTAAAATACACTGGCCCTGCTTCTACACCTGACAAACACCCGCCTGTCTGGTGTAAGGGGGGGGATTGTGCTTAAAGGCATTGGGGAGGTTGGGCCAGCAGCAGCACTAAGGCAATTCTGCTGAGCAAGCCTCCCTGATGGCTTTAAGGACTTCACGCCCCTTCCAACCCTTGACAGACAGTTGTCTGTCAGGTGCAGGAGGAGTAGCGCATCTGAAGGTATCGGGGAGGCTGGGTCAGCAGGATTGCTAAGGCAATGCTGCTTGGGCAACCTCCCCATTGGCTTTCAATGCTCTGCTTCTGTACCTGACAACCATCTGTCAGGTGGAGGAGGAGTGGGTGGGAGTGTGTCTAAAGCCATTGGGGAGGCTGGCCCAGCAGCATTGCTAAGGTTTTCTGGTCTGGTGGCCTCCCTGATGGATTAAAGTACCCTGGCCCTGCTTGTACACCTGACAGATACCCACCTGTCTGATGTTGGGGAGGAGTATGTTTAAAGGCATTGAGGAGACTAGGTTGAAGGGTATGTATGACATAGGATCTCAGTAGCCACGAAGGTTCTATAGCCACACACTAATACCGGTTATGGCAACTGGGCCTTGATTCTTTGTTACATTCTCCACTCATGCTGACATAATATAAGAAGTCATCCTGTTATGAATGGGGGTCACTCTGATACTGAAAATAATACAAGTTCATGGAATGTGTAACCAGATCTCCAGCTGCACTAAAAGGTCAAAAGTGGAGGTTTTAGGGCGATGCACAGCAGAAAGGAAGAAGAAGAAGAAGAGATTGGATTTATACCCCGCCCTTCACTACCCAAAGGAGTCTCAGAGCGGCTTACAAATTCCTTTCCCTTCCCCTCCCCACAACAGACACCCTGTGAGGTGGGTGGGGCTGAGAGAACTCTGACACAAACTGCTCTTTTTCAAGGACAGCTGTGCCAGAGCTTGTGACTGACCCAAGCTCACATCAGCAGGTGCAAGTGGAGGAGTGGGGAATCAAACCCGGTTCTCCCAGATTAGAGTCTGCGCACTTAACCACTACACCAAACTGGCTCTCAGAGAGGCCTGACCTCTCTTACACATGCATGCACATCTAGCTGAGTTGGGCCAGAGACCATCTTTTCCAGTATTATACTGGGAAAATATCAATAACTGGAATCTCTTTGGTGATGGCTGGTACCCTGGCAGAAGGAGTCCAGACTGGGATAAAGTTTCCCCTATGAATTTCAGCTCATTCCAGAAGGGAAAATGGAGTCACCTGGTTGCCAGGTGAGACCCTGACAATCCCCAGGATTTTGTATGACATTTCAAGCTGTTCTAAGGGAAGGAAAAGTTACACTCCATGAATGGAAGTCTTTGCACCTACAGCAATGCTATACTTGACTGAACTTCATGGTTGGAAGCGGATTTCTATGAAACTTTTCCTTCAGCAAATCAGTCACTGGTCATTACTGATGAAGAAGAGATTGAGAAATCCACATCTGCTGAAACAATTATACCAATTTGGTCAAAGCATCTACACTTGGAACCCCTGATGTACTCAAAATAGACACCTTTTAACAGAGTAGAATGCAGATTTGCTCATTAGAAAATAAACTACTTTGCTTCAAAGCAGACAGAGAAAAATGAATCTGAAAACTACTGCCAAAACAATAAACTTCTCAATTGTAGCTGGGAAAAAACTGGAATCAAGAAATGTCCACCTTTTTGCATAATTAGTGAATCACATGACAATCAACTGTAGTTGTACTCCAGCAGATGTAATTTTCAAAAGAAACATTCATACTCAATTACAACCATAGTCCTCTGCCACAAGTCGATAAGATAAAGTTAAAAAGAAAACTCTACACAAACTTGAAACAGGCCAAGGAACATTATATGACAAGGAGACCTAGTCTTGATTGATTAATTAATAGAAGGAGGAAAGCTGAGTATTCCTTTCAGTGTAAAGGCCACCATAATTAATAGGATAAAGGGGTCCACTGATATATCAGACCAAAAATAGCCCAATTTTTAACTGAAATTTACAGAAGTATTTCTGGAAACAAAAGTAAAAACCAGATAACTGTATGTATCAGTTTTCATAACTGCACAAGTAAAACTTCTGGCAGAAGAACCAAAACCAAAATTAAAACTCAGTACCACACCAGAAAACAGTATTCTCCACTGTTTACACTCAGAACTGCTTCATATGTAACACCAGCTACCATAAGATGTTAGCGGGTGCCTTTCCATGAAGAACGAGGTTTGCCTAAGAGGCCATCCTGGAACTCAAGCCAATTTTAATCATGAAAGCAATTCTCTCCTGCCAAAAGAAGAGTTTTGTCATACTTAAAACTGGCCTGAGCCATGAAAGATCTAATTTGCATATGGCTTCCTGTGTGAAAAGCTTGTGACACCCAGCAGCCAAACAGATAGTACACAATGTGCAAATCAGATCTTGGTGCCAAAGTGAAGAACGTGCTTATTGACACTTTCACCATCATTATAACTCTACTGCAGAACAGAGAAGTTGTCATGCATATCCATAAATCACCTTGTTATTTCAAATGCACACAAACCCATCTAGGAGAATTAGTATTTACTCACACATGACAGGTAGGAAACATGAGGCCAATGACAGAAATTCCAATCTCTGACAAAGGAGTGAAAAAGACTAGATGCCCTTTTAAACTAGTCATGATTAAGCAAATATAGGGATTACCATCAGAGCCTTGAGCCTTATTCACTGTTAGAAAAAGTATTATGACAAGATTTTTCTAACCTTTCCATGTCTTTTTATTATAGAAATGCTTCTTCATAATCACACCTTTTGTTCACCTTATTTAAGAATCCTTAATAGAACAGACTTTCAGTGCAGAGTTGCACCCTTCTAAGAATTGTGCTGTAAAGGTCCTAATAGGACAGCAATATGCTCCCAACAGCAGGCCCCCTTCCTAGAATATGACACAGGAAGATATACCTCCTCTAAATATGAAAGTTCCATCAAGTTATGGTGGCTAATAGCCATTGACAGTTAGAATCATAGAATCATAATTCTACCCAATATTAATATTTAATATATTTTAAAATGCAAGACATTTAATTGTACTTCCTTTAGTATTCTGCACATACATCAGTGCCCTCTCTTCCGCAAAGAAATGTCATTTGTTACAGAAACTGTACGGTTGGATAAACACAACCTTTTGGAAATCAAAGTGTTAAAGGTAATACACGGTCTTACCAGTCCTATACCCAGTGTTGTTGAGATATACTGCAAAGGTTCTTGGTTCGTGAGTTGCTTGCCAGGAAGGCGAAGAGCAATTCTCATTGTTAGTGTAGACATTGTGGTTATGAACATATTTTCCTGTCAACATTGAAGATCGAGATGGACAGCACATTGGGGTAGTTACAAATGCATTGACAAACGTGGCACCTCCATTCTCCATTATCTTTCTGGTTTTATTCATCACTTGCAAGGAGCCTGGAGGAAACACAAAGGACTATATCAAGACTTACACAGTTGCTAATGGAGAGCAAACTCAGAACTCATTGTACAAGAACTTTAAATTTGGCATATCTTCAGTACTCAGACAGCTGTACAGATCTCTCCTCTGTTAACTTGCTCAATTCAAATTCTAACAAGATAAATAAAATACATAATTTAGTCAATAGATTTGTATGGGGATGCATGCTATCGATGGAGGCTGGAATGATTTGATCACTGTGTCTACAATGCTGATTACTTCTGGTTCTAGAATTATGGGATTACAACAGAAGCAGCCTCAAAAAGTATGAAAATGCTTTTGTCTATAAGAGAGATTTTAAGAAGGATGACAAATCCACTGATTTAATGTCTTCAGCAGAAATTAAAGATGCCATAATAAATCCAGAATAAATAATAAATTCAGAAGAGTTATATAGCTCCAGTGAATCAGCAGCTTGTGCCATCTTAAAGGGTCAGGTGATACAAAGCAGGTAGCACTCCAGAAGCCTCTCTCCTTCCTCCCTCTTAGCCTACATTCAGGGCTAAATAGTTGTCTAACTCTGTATAGATAGCACAGGCTAGCCCGATCTCAGAAACTAAGTAGGGTCAGCCCTGGTTAGTATTTGGATGGGAAACCACTGCAGAATACCAGGGACACTATGCAGAGGCAGGCAATGGCAAACCACCATTGAACATCTCTTGCACTGAAAACCCCACAGGGTCTCTGTAAGTCGGTTGAGAACACTACTATTGAACAGCAGCCACCACACAAAAATCCAGCATGGCACAATGGTTAGAGTTTCAGACTAGAATCTTGGAGACTCAGGCACAAATCCCCACTCTGAGTATAGGCCCAGTCCTATACTCTCGGCCTATCTTGCCTCACAGGATTGTTGTTGAGGATAAAATGGAGGAAGAAGAGTACAACGTAAGCTTCTTTGGGTCCCCATTGTGCAACACAGTAGAGTACAAATGAGGTAAATAAATAATAAGTACAGCTGAAGATGTGGGGCAGATAAAAGGTTGGTTAGTTCATGCATGGGAAGGAGAGAGAAAAAAGATGAGGATATGGGGCTTATCAAGAGGAAAGAAAGAGGAAACAGTGTGGGGCAAGGGATACAGGGGAAAGTGAGGTACCCCTCAAGTCCTTAAAGATTCCCTGCTTGTCATATATAATCAGAATAAAACCCAACTATCATCTTTATTCACAGTAGTATGTATAAAATCAATGCTATACCTTAAAAAAGGGCCAACCACCACATTTTTATTCTGTCTTTCCTCAAAGGAATTCAGGACAGCATACATTGGTTGTCTCTTCCTCTATTGTATCCTCAAAAGCAAAATGAAAGCCTGGCTCTGCCTGACCACAGGTAATTTCGTGAGTTTTAAGACTAAGGATTAGAACTGAGATTTTCCCAATCCCGCCCAAACACTTTAGCCACCAATACACTATGCTGGCAGTAAACTTACAGTTAAAATGTGAACAGAAATCTGTATACATATGAAAATATATGTATCAGGTGTTTCAAATGCTTAAACCTTATAGGAAAATGGACCATCAGCTGCAAAATTAAATACTGCTGACAGGCAGCTTTCTGCTATTCCATTTCATTAGAAGTAGCTAAACATTAACATGTATTGACTCAGCAATGTATCTTTCAACCGAATGCCAATCAATTAAGATGTATCCAGTGAAAGGAGTGAGTTGATGTCAGACCTCCCCCACCCAAACAGGATCCCTAAATCTGTCAGGTGTGATGCCATAACTGAATGACAAATATGCCAAGGATCAGTTATGGAGCAGAAGATGACTGGGGGAATCCAACTCAAGATCTTCTAGTATCAGCACACAGAGAAAACTTGGCTATCTCAGCATCACTGTATCCCCTCCAGCCTCAATATGACCTTTTGGTGCATGACTGAATGAAATTATGCCACAGTACATAAAAAAGACTCACCAAGTTCCACATCCTGGTCATCTGTGAGTACAAGGATAATGTTTGGTCTGATATTTTTTCGCTCTTGCAGCACACGTCCTCTGAACCTTGGGGATTTGACAGTAGTACTGAGACTCTGTAGCAGTTCAGTGCCAAGCACAGTCCATATGAGTGCAATGAAATACTGATTCATTGTAGTCTTCCCAATACTGCAGTTAAACAAATACCTTGTGCAAATGCTTCTGGTCTTTAAATTTTCAAGCTCTGTCGAAAGAAAGCGATCCAGTTTAAAATTCAACTTGTAGTAAAAAAACACCAGGTCAAAAGCACCCCCTCAATTCTGTTCACAATTCTGTTTTTAAAAACCCACTTTGGTGAAGCATTTGTCTTCAGTAACATGGAAAGACAGAGGCCAATTAAATTCCCCTCTGCTTACATAACGGAATCTAACAAACTACACACCTCCTGTTGCTGTAAGTGAGACAGAGGATACCTTAAGAAGTCCACATAGTGATACAATCATGTGCTTGCCATCCTTCACCTCCATACATGTTATTACATTTCTACAAATCTAAGTCAAATGAGTACTCATTTGAGCTCCAGGGCACCTGAAAACCACAGAGCTTTTAAAGGTAACTTCACCTGCACTTCAGAAGCAGTTGCAATTGGCATGGTAACATTATTTGCAGCTGTTTTAGTTCCTCTTTGCAGCTGGACAGAGAGCTTGTCCTAAGTGACAGTCCAGATGATTTTACCCAGCACTGTGAAAGCCCACATGCCTAACCCTCATCAGTCAGCAATGAGATGGAGTGCTTCATGTATAATGCACAGCAGCCCCAAGCAAGCTCTTGTTTCCCAGACTCTATTTTCAGATTTGGCTCTCTGAGCCTATCAGACCCCTTCCTTGGGGTCTGTCAGTCAACCAGCTGCACAATCCTAAACCCCAATGCATCCTCTAGAGAGAATATCTGTGGGCTGTGACTGAGCAAAATGATTGATTGGCCTTGCAGCTAAAAGGTTAGCCTCTTCTGCTTCAGCATTTCTTTGCTCTGTAGATAGGACGCCTTCTGGAGGAAGAAACTTGTGATGATACTAGCTTAATTTAGAGGGTTAGCTTGCTATTTTTTTATTTTAAAAAATAGTTGGGATGGCAGACAAAATTATAGGAGACTCCTTCCATGGGAAAGTCTGCTTGGAAAAGATGTGACATCAGTCTTAATGAGAGTGGAATACAACTCATCAGAAGAGCATCACTCCCACACCTGAGACTTCACACTTAGACATGCAACATTAACTAGTAGGAGATAAATCAGCAGAAATAATTAAGTGGAAGCATAGCAGAGAATGAGAAAAAAAAAGGTCCCATCACTCATCGAAAAAACGCAACAAAGAAGAGATGGGGGTGGGGGTGTTTGACGCAGCCCACCAGGAATCTCTATTACAGATGAATTTTTTTTTAATTACAGGATTCTATTTTCTTTTCACACCCACCCATTCCTTGAAGCCTCACAAGATATTCTATAAGCAGCTCCATGCACCTCACTCTTCGGGTGATAATTTCACTTGGGAGAGTGCAAAGGCATTTCAAGAACAAAAATCCAAGCGTCTACAAGCAGAGAAATCCTGTCTCCATTGTCTGTGTACAAACATTCCAATCTCTGATTGACATCACTGTAACCTAAAGGCAGGATGCCGGAGGAATCAGCAGTTTAAGTTAAATACCATTGCCCTGACTACATGACATTCAGATAAGTAGACTAGAAGTCCGTAACTAAACATAGGCTTTTGTAAAGAGAGAGAGAGAGAGAGAGAAAACTTTGGTTTTTATCTATCTGCTCTAGCTAAAGACAGAAGACACTGCAGAAGCAGATTATAGGCCAAGTCAGTCTTTTCCTGTCTGCTACAGCCACCACCACCTGCACTTAGCAAAAAAGCTAAACAGAAATGTCTCTGAGGATTGTTTGCTAAACAGACAGCCTTGGATTCCTCACACAAAAGCCAAAAGAAGGGACATGAAGGGGAGGGGGTGAGAATTAGCATTTTCCGGGTCAGTCGGTGCTGCATAGAAAAATATTTCACACAATGTCATTCCAGTAAAGGACAGTCACCCCAAATTCACTATGCAAAACCCTGGCAGACATAGTTGAACAATCCTGTCCCACTTTGGAATAGCAATCCAGGGCATTTGTAGCCAAGGTTCCATGTCTTCAGTGGTGGCTGAACAGGGGTAATACCACCGAGGATGCTGCCACCCTTCCTCTCACCACACTCAGCAGCTAATGTCCCCCCCCCCCATTCCAGATTAGTGTTGCCAACTCCAATTTGGGAAATCCTTGGAGATTTGGGGGTGGAGCCTGGGAGGACAGGGCTTGGGGAGGAAAGGGACCTTAGTGGGGTATAATGCAATAGAGTCCACCTTCCAAAGCAGTCATTTTCTCCGGGGGAATTCATCACTCTTATCTGGGAATCAGTTGTAATTCAGGGAGATCTCCAGGCCCCAGCTGAAGGTTGGGAACCATATTCCAGAGGCATCTTTCAACACAGCATGGAAAGTCGCACATCCCCAATAGGGACTCCCAAACACATGCAAAAGGGATCTTGTCTTTAAGGATTCTTGGGGAGCAAAGAAGGAAAAGAGCACTAGCTGCTCTGGAATAAGGAGCAAGAAAGGAAGCGGAAGAAGCGGAGAAAGTAGCAGCAGCAAACACAAGGCGGTGGAAGCTGTGGAGACGGCCACTTCTCTTCACCAGATCTGGCACTTCACCTACCCTCATTATAAAGCTGCCCCTGCTTACTCTAGGACTGCTCTTGTGGTAACTCAATGACTTTAAGCAGTTCAGAGAACTTTCTCAAAGGTAACCTATTCATTCTAGAAGGGAGCACTTCATTTTTAAGAAAATTGCATTTTCCCCAAACTAAACCTGCAGATACCTGTTGCTGGCTCCATGAGATTCCTTCCCATGATAATACTTCCTTTAGAACTGGGAATACTGGATTGTGTAAGGTTATATATCACAGACCCTATGAGCTGGTAACATCATTATTAAAAAGCAATACGTTTCTCATCCATCAACACTTTTCCTACTCCTGTTTACTTCCACGACTGCAGCATCAGCTATATTTCCAGGCCTTTTATTTTTAAGTAGCTGGCAAATTTGAGAAAAGCAGGAGCCCCTCTTGTCTGTGATGAAGTATACATACTCATTGTAAAGTAGGCGTGCCAGGTCCAACCATTCTGCCAACGGAGGGGCTTGAAAGTCCTCTCTGGGAGCTCTTTGCCACATGCGCAAAGCACCTCTGGTGCAATGGTGTCACCCAGAAGTAATGTTATCATGCCGCCAACATCACATGCTGATGCTCTAGTTTTTAGGCAAAACTCTATGGGTTGAGTCCAAATTTACCATACAGTTGTGCCCAAAAACTAGAGCATTGGTGGTGCAATATTGGTGGCATGACATCGGTAGCGCAACATTGGCACTTCCATGTGATGTCATTGTGCTGCATTTCGGGGCATTTACGAGTGGGGTTCCGCCCTACCAGCCAGCTGGCTGCTGGTGGGGAGGGGCCCGCAAAAGCAAGGGAACCCCTGCCTGGACCGGGGGGCGGGCTGGCAACCCTACTGTAAAGACACAGGAAATTGTTTTTAATCCATATGAAGTTAGCACTGCTTCCCAACTGCAACAGTCCTCAGTAGCTACTAGAACTGGTGATCACCAACATTTACAACCCATTGTCTCTTCAGACTCTCTCACAAGGTTTAAATCTTTTCAAATATTAATTTTCATGAAGGCTGGATGTGATCAGGGTTGTATTCACAGCCTTCCCACAAGCTCTATAAGTACTATTTGCAGGGACTCTCCACATGTTCACTAAATACACATTGGCCACCATGTAATACAGAGAATCACAGGCTGAGAATTAGAGAGTGGGGGACCCGCTAGGACTTGCAGGGGGGGGGGATCTCATTATCTCCTCTCCACTATTTCATCTTGTCCTTCCTTGAAAGCCCCTAAAATTTCTCCCCTTTTCCTGCTTCCTTCTCTTCTTCCTACCCATCAACTACCTTACCTTTATCAGCTCCCATCTTCTACTTTCCCTCCGTCCTTCTCCATGCCAGCCTCTCTCTGGGAAAACTCTGGCCTGTTTGCATGGCAAGGAACCTGCAAAGACTTGCCAGCAGGATGTGTTACTTTTCTCTTTATCCCTCTGCTAGGGCTGCTAGGTCCCTCCTGGCAACTGGCAGGGGATGGGGGGACTTACTGAGAGAAAGAGGAAGGCCCAGGCCTGTGCCGGCATTGCACAGGAAGTGATGTCACCACGCCAGTGACATCCGGGCAACACTCTGGTACTTAGGCAAAAACTCTATGGTAAAAATGGCTTCTACCATAGAGTTTTTGCCCAAATACCAGAGTATCACCCAGATGGCACTGGTTTAACGACGTCACTTCCTCTGCAATGATGGCAAATGGCCTGGGCCTTCCTCTTTCTCTTGGTAAGTCCCCCTGCCAGTCACCTGATCAGCAGCTGTAGTGAAAGCCCTGGTGGCAGGGGACCCCCGAGTCCACCAGGGGGTCTGGCAACTCTACCTCCTGCCCGCACTATTTCTTTTTTGCCTCCTCCTGGGAGCTACTATACCCTCTCCGCCTTTCTATGTTTCCTTCTCTCCTTCCCAACCATCAACCAACTAACCTTTCATCACTCCCATCTTCAGCTATACTTATTTCATTTATACACCTCCTTTTTCCACAATGAGAACCCCAAAGTGGTTTACATCATTCTCTTCACTTCTGTTTTATCCTCACAATAACCCTGTGAGGAAAATAGTAAAAAGTCCAGTAGCATCTTTAAGACTAACAAACTTTATTGTAGCATAAACTTTTGAGAAACACAGCTGTCTTTGTCAGATGCATGGAGGGTATGAAGAAACTGACCAGAGATATATAGGTGGTAAGGGGAGGTGGAAGAGGACGTAGAAAGTGCCATGTAAATGCAAAGCAGTTGCAAAAGTCATGAAAAGGGTATAATGCGCAATGCAGACTGGCTGTGACCCTTCCTTCTATTGAATCTGAATCTGAATGAATCTGAATGGAATGCCTGAAAGGCAGTTACGTCTGGTAATGAGATAACCATCCAAAGTCTCTATTCAATCCAAGTCTTACTGAGTCAAATTTACATATAAATTCTAATTACATATGAATTCCAATTTTGTGAGGGAAGTTAGGCTGAGAATGTGTGACTAGCCCAAGGTCTCCCAGTGAGCTTCC